CCCACCCCCAGTATATTTCTTTAAGAGTTCAAGGGATTACACTTCTCAGGCATTAGGCTTAAGTCTATATAAAAAGTTATTTAGACAATTATTTCTCATTGATGATTTTGTTCCTAACCAGAAAGTGCTTCTCAGATGTAAGACTTCAAATCTTGGTCTCCAGTACTGTAGTGCGCACCTGTAGCTAAGGGAGACAGCCAGCTATTGTTCTAAAATGATGGATAAATTTGTTTTCTCCCCCTATCTAGAAGCCTTTGTGGGGGAACTGACCCTGATTCTAACCACTCCAACAGCTATCAAAATGCCTGAAAGCAAATCCTGAATCCATCACTCTGGAGTCCAGCCTTGGAAGACAAAAGAAAAATGAGGAGGAGCCCAACAGAGGGATGCTTTTGGAAGCGCTTTTCAAGAAATTCCAATGGACTCACATGAACATTTGAAAATTGCCCTGCTCAGACTTTCTTCTAGTTCCCTGTCTAGAACTTGTAATGCTCATTACTCTTGCTTTACTTCTCCTTCACATCTCCTATTCACGATTCAAAGACTTATTTTCCTCCTTGAGATAAGAGTTGTGCAATTTGGGAGTCTTTTAGACAGACCCTCTGATAGACTCCAATTGCCTCCCCCTGTGTCCCTGTTCAGCATGGAAGAAGCCAGAGCAGTCTTCATCCCCATTCCCTATTGGCATTTGGATAACCTCTTCAGAGGATGGTGTAATAAGAATAGTAGGTAGGAATTGGCTAGGCAGTTAGGGTAAAAAGACCCCAAAGAAAAGTAGCCAGTTTTTTTGGCTAAAACTCACAATGCCCTTGGGCCTCTTAGAAACCTACTCCATTCCAAAAGCCAAAAATGTCAAAAATATTTGGGAGCTTTTATTAATCCTTAAAAGATTTTAGGATTACCTCTTCATAAGGGGGAATGTTAGAGTAGCCAAAAGCCCCATAAAAAATAAATCAATCAAAGAAGAAGAAAGAATACATGAAATTATCAGAAAAAAAAAGTGATGGGGAGATATGGGAGGAGTTGGAGGGGAGGGAGTGGGCATGTATGAAATGCATGTATGAAATTCTCAAATTTTTTTTTTAAAAAGGATTCAAGGGCTTGCAGGTAGGTACATTTTTGTATGATATTCTTAGTGGCTTTTTTATTCTATGAAATAAAAAGCAAAATACAAAGACTGACAGTTCGTGTCTTATATACTTAGATTTTGAAAATGAGATCAGTTTCATGATCTAACCTGAAGTTGCTTCATTTTTAAAAATAGTTTCCTAGGGGCTGGAGAGATGGCTCAGCAATTAGGAGTACTGGCTGCTCTTGCAAAGAACCCAGGTTTAGTTCTCAGCACCCACGTGGCAGCTAACAACCATCCATAATTCTAGTTTCAGGGGATCCAATGCCCATTTCTGGCCTCTGTGGGCACTGCATGCATGTCGTACACTTACATAACACGCAGGCAAAATGCACACCTACAATAAAAATAAAGAAGTTTCCTGAAAAACCATTTTTTATATTAAACCTTAAAATAGACAGTGAGTTGCTGCAGTCCTAAAATATCTATCAGAACATTAAAATTATAAAGTGTGGTTATAGACTATAAGTGAACATGTATTCGTATAAAATCTGTAGCTATGAAACAGATAACTAAACCATCCTAATTCTTTTAATCAAAAACTATGGGAAAATAGTTATTATAGAGTGCCATGTTCCAGCATTCTATAAACTCCAAAAAATTTCCACTGTGTGAATTATCCAGTGTGCATTTACAGGGACACCGCTATGACTAGAATGGACCCATTCTCAAACAGAAGCAGAATAGAGTCCACCCAACTGTGGAGAAAGATGCTCTCAGTGCCAGGAGTGATCACCCACTAGCAAAGGCTCTAGCGTACACTCTCCCCTCCGCCTCAGCTGTACATGTGGCTGAACGGCTTCAGGTGATCCTCGCTACAGGTGTGGCTGGTTGTGATTTTGTTTTTTGTATTACATGCTGTCCCTTTCATTTTGCAAAGCTTCTCAACAGCTGCATCTGTCCACATTTTTTATGTGGTGTGTGTCTGTGCATCCTCAGGACATTGGCTGTCCACCTTTTCTTTGTCTGAGGCCTTAGTCAGCTTGGTGTTCTGATTTTGTTATTGAATGTCTGGCAATGCTCTCGAAATGAAGGACCATTTTGATTTTCATTGTGAATTTTGTGTTAATTTGATTCAGCAAAACTTCGTATGTGTGCTATCAGTAAAGGATATCCTAAAATTCAGGTTTTCTTTAGAGATCCAGGCTAAGCAGTCTGATGCAACCTCTTAATCTCTTGACACATTTGACCTCATTGTCATATAGATTAAATAAGAAATTCATCCCAACTCTCCCTACATGTAGTATAAGTTGGACATAAACTCACATAATTGAACTGTACCTTTGTGAACCATCTTAAGATCATGGTGAGCTTAGCAGACCAACAATTGTAACTTAACTGCTATTGATAACAAGACTAATGCAATGAAATGGTGCAGGTTACATCAACTGCACCACACAGAGAGCCCTGCCCTAATCCTAATAATTCCAAATTGATGATATATTATCAAGGATTCATCAAGAGCTCTAGAAAGGAGTCTAATGACCCCAGAAATTCATTTAACTTTATTATCCTTCCCCTGGAAGAAATATACTTAACTTATAGCTGTATTCTTAAATAGGAATGTATGTCCTGATCAACAATCAATTCTATTCAGTGTGAAAAAATATTTGTTAATTACGTTTTTGTTTACATGCCTATCTCTGAGGCTAAGCATACTAGCCACAGCTGCAGACCTGGGGTTACACCTGTGCACACACACTCGTTTCATCAGTTTGTGACTGTCCTGAAGGAATTCTACATTCACAGAGGAGGAAACTGAGGCAAGAGATAGAGAGCTCCCTGAAGGTCATGTGCACAGTGGAAGGGGAGACATAGCAGCCCAAGCTGGGCAGAGCTGCCTGGGAGGTGACAGTGCCTGGAAGGGAAGCACAAGTTCATGGAAATTGTTTTGCTCTTTGCTGACTCTTTATGGTTTCTGACATGTAAGGTCTTGTATTTGATATCCTCAGCAAAAAGAACTTATTTAAAGGGAACAGGCATCCTGTTCTGTGTGGCTCTGGGGACACATCTGACCTCCAGATGCTGGAGTTGACTGGGGCTAGTGTGCAGCAGAGGCAAATGCAGCTCCACAGGCAGCTGCAGAGGACCAGGCACAGCAATCTGCCTTTCTGCCCTAGTGTGAGTTCTTGCCAGAGGCTGCGTTCTCTCCTTTCCCTTCCTTCCTTCCTTCCTTCCTTCCTCTCTCCCTCCCTTCCTTCCTTTTCTGTTAATGTGGCTTCCCTGGACAATTCACATGATTAAAACATACAGTCTGCGAACTTTTAAGCAATTTATTTCTGGGAGGTGCATTTCACACACATGCCACAGTGTGCTTGTGGAGGTTAGAGGACAACGTTCAGGAGTCACTTATCTCCTTCCACTTTGTCAGTTCCAGCAACCGAACTCGGGTTCGGCAGCAAAAGCCCCCAGCTGCTGAACATTCTTGCCTGGAGTCTCTCACCAAACACAGTGCCCTGAGTTTCATCCATGTTGCAGCATGCATTCTTCACTGTGAGCTAGAATTCAGCCTTCTGACTTTACTACGTTTTGTTCTTCCAGCTGATGGGCCAGCTGTTTCTGATTTGGTCACTGTGAATGATGCTGCTGGGAGGAGCTATATAAAGTCTAGGTGTGGACAAATGTTTTCATTTCTCTGGGTGGATACCTCTGAGTGCAGTTGTTGGGTAATATGTAGTAATGGTAAATTTATGTTTAATATTTTGAGAAACTGCCAAACTGGTTTTTGGAATGACATTTCACATTCAGAGTTCTCCACACAGCAACTATCATTTGTTACTGTCTGTCTTATTAATTGTCAAATTCTTGTAGATGTGAAGTAATATCCCATTATGCTTTGCAGTACATTTCCCTAGTGACCAAAGATATTGAACATCTTCTCATGTGTTAATTGGATGTGTCTATCTTGTTGGGTAAAATGTCTACGCAGATTGTTCTGCCCATTGTTTGGATAGACGTGTGTGTGTGTGTGTGTGTGTGTGTGTGTGTGTGTGTGTGTGTGTGCGTGTGTGTGTGGTCTATTCCATGTATGTAGGTATGCATGCCTATGTACAGTGGAGAAGAGGACACTGGGTTCCCTGCTCTATCAGTCTCTCCTTACTCCCTTGAGATGGTCTCTCACTGAACCTAGAACTAGGCTGGCAGTCATCGAGCCTCAGTGGTCCTCCTGTCTCTGCCCTCCACAGCACTGGGATTACAGGCATGTGCACGGTCACACCCAGCTTTTTACATGGGTGCTGGGGATTTGAACTCAACTCTTCAGACTTGTACAGCAAGCACTTTTACCCCCAAGCTATAACTATAGCCCAGAATAAACTTTTAAGAGCTTTTTTCTATTTTGAATGTAAGTCCTTCCTTTTTTATTGAGAATTTCATAATGCATATAATGTGATTTCATCAAGTCCACTCCCTCTTCATAAGTTCTTTCTCGACTGTATAATTTGCAAATATTTTATCCAAGTGATGGCTTGTCTCTTAATGGTGGTTTTGAAAAATAAAAGTTTTTAACTTTGGTAAGAACTAATTAGGCTTTTTCTTTCATCATCTGTGCTTTCCGTGTCATATTTAAGAGACAGTTGCCCAGGAGCTGGAGAGATGATTCAGTGGTTAAGAGTGCTTACTATTCTTGGGGCTAGAGAGATGGAGCAGTGGTTAAGAGCACAGACTGCTCTTGCAGAGGACCCGGGTTCAATTCCCAACACCCACATGGCAGCTAAGAACTGTCTGTAACTCCAGTTCTAGGTGATCTGAGGCTCTCTTCTGACCTCCACAGGCATTGCACAACACAGATGCACCTATCCACATGCAGGCAAAGCACTCATACACATAAAATAAAAATAATAAAAAGAAAGACGGCTTACTATTCTTACAGAGAGGACTTAGGTTCAGTTCCCAGCACACCCAGTTCCAGGGAATCTGATGCCCTCTTCCAATCCCCATGGGCTCCTGCACACACATGATGTGGTGTTTGTGTACACTCAGGCACACACACATAGACATGAAATGAAACAAACAAGTTTTTAAAAAGAGATCATTGCCTAATCTGAGGTCACGAATATGTACTACTGTGTCTTCTTCTAAGAGTGTTGACTTCATTCTACATTTAGATCTGAGATCCATTTTGAGTTAATTCTTGTGTACAGTATGAGCTGAGGGATCAATTAATGTTTTCACATGAGAATGTAACAACTGTCCCAGTGCCATTTGTTGAAAAGCAAATTGCCTTGGCACATTTGTGAGTAATTGATTGATTCTCAATTCAGTTCCATCTATGTTTTTCTATAAACAAGTACCACCCTATTTTGATTACTATGGCTTTGTGGTACAGTTTTAAGCTGGGCAGTGCAGTTCCTTCGTTTTTGAAAATTGTTTTGTTAATCTAGGGCCCACATAAATTTGAATCTGTTTCCCAACTTTGGAAAGAAAGGCAACTGAGGTTTTGACAGCGACAGTGCTGATTGTTTAGTCTTGTCATCTTACCTATAAATACAGAATGGCTCTCAAGTTAGCGTATTTCATTTCAACAGGAATTTTTTTTATTTTAGTAAACATGAGTTCTACTTTTGCTAAACTTATTCCCGTCTTTTTCTTTTTGATAATATTGCAAATTAAAATTTTTATATTTCCAAGGAGCTCAGAAAGTAACCGTGACTAGTAATAATCAGATATATTGATATTAGAAACATATGTGCAAACAGCTGAATGTCAGTTGCATTAAAAATGAATTTTTCTGTATGAAATTGTGTATTTTAATAATGAAATGGAGATCTTTTTAAAGGTTAAAACATCATTTAATTTATGTCTTATAGGGTTTATACTGAGTACAATATTGTATAACTGTAATAATTCAACTGTAAACCTAAAAATTAACAATTTTGAAAGAGATGCATCTTAGCTCAGGAACTTGTTATTGAATATGTCAGTGCTGTTGTAATTAAATGCTTCTTCTAAGTATGTGGTTATTAAATAATGTTTTCAAATTATATTAAAAAATAAATTTTTTTTTAATGTTCATATTTGAATTGTTCATTACTAGTTTATAGGAAAAAATACTTTTATATGCTGGCCTTGTATCTTGTGACCAAATAAATATCCTACATATAGTAACTGATTGAAATGCCAGAGTAAGATAAAGTTCTTCAATATGAGGTCTCCATAATAAAAAGTGAAAATGCCCAAAGATTTTCATAACATATATAGATAATCCCTATTTATTATTTATTTTTGTTTTGTGTGTATGAGTGCATTGCCTACATGTATGTAAGTGCACCCATGTCATGCAATGCCCTTGGTGGTCACAAGAAGGTGTCAGATCCCCTGGAACTGGAGTTACTGACAGTTGTTACCAAATCCAGGTCCTCTGCAAGAACAGCTAGTGCTCTTAACCACCAAGTCATCTCTCCAGCCCCAATAGATAATCGTATATAAGAAAGTTTTTTTCATTTTTTTTATTAAAGTACTTGGAATAACATATGATCAGGCAAATAGCAATGCTATGTGACAACACAGGAGGAATTCCAAGAGGCTGCTCATTGGTTCTTGCCCATTGGAACCAATTATAGAGGGCTTATAGAAGCTGACATGCCTTTGGGACAAAATGAACTTCAATGTGGCCTTATAATTTGAAAGCTGCTACAGAGTAACAAATGGAAAACAGCACTAGACAGTTTCTCATGTTTTTGGAGTCACTCTTCCTCACTGAGATAGTGTTAAGCAGACTTGACTGACTTCATTCTAAAGCCTTTAAAACAACAACTGATGCAATCCAACAGACCTTGGAAAACAAAGGAACGATGGAGTCTTGGGAATTGTTTGCTGCCAGGAAAAGTACTGATAAAGGTTTGCTTTATAATTTAATGCCAGTGTATTTCCTGAAAGTAAACACTGTATCATATATAAGTGGAAGAAACTTCATTGCTATTAGTTAACCTAATAAAGCCACCTTTGATAAACTAAAATGCAATAAAGTTTATCTCACTTTAAAAAGTGAGGTTTTCCAATTTCTTTTACTCTGTACTTATACAATATAATATCACAGTAATTTATTAAAAACCAAATTATATGGGCAGGAGACAGTTTCATGACTGAGGGCCTCCCTGGCACGCATAAGCTCTGGTTTAATCCCCAGCAACATTTAGAAGCATATAAAAAAATATATGGTGCCAGGGCTGGAGAGATGGCTCAAAGGTTAAGAACACTGACTCTTCTTGCAGAAGACCCGGGTTTGAATCCCAGCACCCACATGGCAGCTAACAATTGTCCATAACTCTGGTTCCAGGGGATCCGACAGCCTTTTCTGTCCTCCATGGGCGTTGCATGACACAGGTGCACTTACCTACATGCAGGCTATATATATATATATATAGTGCCTCCTAAGTGCTAGCTTAGGGTTTCTCAAGATGTAATTACTATAGATTCTACTATTATCATTATTATTCCTGTTCTAGTTTATGTTTTTTCCCAGCTTTTGAAAAAAATTTAGTTCTTTTTATTTACATATATGTGTCTGTGACTGCTTGTCTGTATGCACTATGTGTGTCCAGTGCCCACAGAGGCAAGAAGAGGGCATCAGATTCCCTGGAACTGGAGTTACAGGCAGTTGTGAGTGGCCATCTGGGTGCTGGGAACCCAACCCTGGTCTTCTGCAAGAGGAGTAAATCTCACCTGCTGAGCCATCTCTCCAGCTGCCTTTTTCATTCAGCTTTAAAAAAAACACACCTTTTGATTTATTTTACTTTATATGTATGAATGTTTTGCCTGCATGTATGTAAGTGCACCATGTGCACACAATGCCCACAGAGGCCAGAAGAGGGTGTCAGATTCTCTGGAACTGGAGTTATGAACTGTTGTTAGCAGCCATGTGGGGGCTAGAAACCAAGCTTTCTGCAGGAGCAGCCAGTGCTCTTAGCTGCTGAGCCATCTCTCCAGCACTTTTCTCCAGCCTTTGGTGGTAAGAGCTCACTAAATAGCCCTGGCCAGCCTCAAATTCATGATCCTCCTGCCTCAGCCCACCAAGTACTGAGATTACAAGCAAGCATCACTAAACTAACTCTAGCTCATGTGTTCACTTTATTTCCCAAGTGTAAAAGAAAATACAAGTTGTTAAAATCAGGAACCTGAAAAGATCATTATTTTTACATATTAAATGAATCTATTAATAAACCTCAAATTGAACCTAGTTACTACTATAGTCTGGGCCCAGATTATGCCTGCAGAGGACGCTTAGAGTCACTGGATCACTGGAGACAGGAGGAGAGGGATGAGAAGGGGAGAGGACTGAGGAGAAGGAGAAGGAAAAGAGGGAGGAGGTTAAAAGAGAGAGAAGGAAAGAGACAGTAGGTTAAGAAATGTGAGATCAAAAGACGGTAGGGTACATAGATTAAGACTGCAAGCACATGTAACTCAGCTGTGCCTGGACTGCTCAAGACTGCAAAGGAACAGGCGGTCCTCCTCAGGAAGCCAAAGGCTCCCACCGTGGAAAAGCATTGTCAATCTGCTTAAACTTGTTCTGTGGCTGCAACTCTAGCTAAGTGAGTGACACCTGAATCTATTAAACCATGGCTTTGATGTGAAAGTCTTACAAATACTGAGAAAATGTTACTCTTGAAAATCAATTTTCCCCAATCAATTCATAGGGAAAAAAGAAAGCATGCAACCATAGCCAAAAAACAAATTCACTTTCATAAGTTTATAAATCAAACAGGTAATTTACTATCCCTAACTTTCAGAGTGCCTAAACTATATAGCCAAGAAAAGGTTCTGCCTTATATAAAGTTGCATTTCAGTAAATGTGTTTTTCTATTTGTTCATTTGCTGTTTAATGAAAAATGTAATGTACTTTACTGTTAATTTGTTTTTAATTTACATTTATTTATTTATTTTCTGTGTATGTGGGTGGGGGCATGCCTACACCTGCCATGGTACGAATGTAGCTGTCAGAGAACAACTTGCAGGAAGGAGTCAGATTCTCTCCTTCTACCATGTGGGTTCCAAACTCAGGTCATCAGGCTCAACAAGAAGCCCCTTTACCCATCAAGCCATCTGGCCAACCCTGTTAACTTTATTTATTTATGAAATACTGTATTTTCTGTAAACTTTCCTCATCAGTTCGAGCTAAATATTTTCCTAATAAGAAAATCTAATAAGAAATCTTCTAGAAAACATTTTTCTTTGAAATTATAAAATTATTAAATAGTCCATCCTGCTTTATGTTTGTGTTTTGTGGAGCATCTTAGTAGCCAGTAAAATTTTTTCATGAAGCTTGCCTTTAAAAAAATGCATGATTTAGCTGGGCGAGGTGGTGTATGCCTTTAGTCCCAATACTCAAAAGGCAGAGGCAGACAGATTTCTGTGAGATGAGACCAGCCTGGTCTACATAGCAAGTTCCAGGCTAGTGAGGTTACAAGGGAGACCCTGTCTCAAACAAACCTAAAGAATCTTATGGATTTTTTTTAAAGGAAATAATATGAATCACACAATTAAGAGATCAGGCATCCCTGAAGTCAGGAGAAGTAAATTATGGCTTCAGGAATATGCTAGATATTTCTTTGAAAGGAGACTAAAATCATTTTGGACTTCTTTTATTTTTTAAATATAAAATAATCTCCAACAAATCCAAACTCAAAAATTCTATTATTTCTCCATTCTTATTTCATGCCAACAGAAATATAGAATGCAAAACACTGACATTCACTTTATAGCCAAATATTTATCTGTCCAAACCTTTCTTTAAAAATCTGTCACTAATTTTAGAGACAAGGGTCTCTTTTTCCAGGAAGACTGACCTTATTCTTCTGATAAGTTTGTATTTCTTGACTCAGAAAAACTACACAGTCCATCAGGAAAACTAAAATATTTAAAGCACATATTTTTGAAAAATGAGTCAATACCTAAAACCTCCCTAAACTCATTTTCACCTGCAGATCCTCGGAGCTCTCTGCTGACAGGGAGAGCATAACAGGCAATGTGTCTGTGATAGCCATGACCCTCGCGTGTTCAGGAGTGTGCCTCCCAACCTGTCTTAAGGCCCTGGCGGCGGCAGCCTTAATATGGTCTTCTGATTCTTCTGACAGGCAGGCTGACAACTGGGGTACACCCTGCAGTGGGGATCAAAAGAGCAAGTGTTATAAATCTAGAGCAGGATTAAAGAGTCTTCTGTGTCTCTCAGACATTAGAAGAAATCATTTCCGCCTTGATCTCTTTTTTGTCCTAAATGGTTCAATAACTGAGCACATCACTGGGGCAGTTGTTTCTTAAGTCAATAAAATGACTGGAAGTAAATCACCTCTATCATCTTCAACAATCCAACTTAACGAAGATCTCTGCTAGTTTTCACCCCCCAAACAGAGGAACATTTAGGCAAACAACAGATGCTACAGACTAGGCCAAGCCAGATTCCACTGTGACAAACAAAAGCGTTTACGATCTTAAACCTTTATTTTCTTTTGTTGAGAAAGTTAATTTAAGACTGGGGATGTAGCTACAGAGCACTGCCTAGCATGTACACGGCCTACTCAGTTCAATACTCAGCAACATTCTCTCTCTCTCTCTCTCTCTCTCTCTCTCTCTCTCTCTCTCACACACACACACACACACACATCTCTCTCTCTCTCACACACACACACACACACACACACACACACACACTCCCTACCAAGTTAAATTTCGTTTTCAGCAGTTATGGTGAATCTGAAAAAAATTACTACTACAGTTGGCTCAAAATCAAATAAATAATATGAGCAAAAATCCATTCCAAGTACTTTTTAGATGGAATATAACTGTAATCTAATATTTTTGCTGAAATAACATATACTTTTCCATTAATTTTGGTCAACTTTTTAATGATAGTTTTGTTCATTTTAACATGATTGTGTCAACGTTACTTTTGTTTCACGGGTAGTACATGTTTACATTTTGCATCTTACACTTCAATTTTATCTAAATAATAACATAATTGAAGGGTCTCAAATATATCCGTTTATAGACCTAAGGAGGAATAAATAAACATAGCAAATTTTAATTGCAGATTCTGTATAGGCATAGTTTTCAAACTAATTTGAGACTATAGCAATTACTTCAAATTTAATACCACAAAACCAGCATCACATGTCCCATGGCAAAGCGAAAAATCATCATCTGTGCTTCTCCATCCCCCTTTAATCTGTTCCCTCAGGGTCAATTTCCTGCAGAGAGCTACCAGTTTCTTCACTGGATCCTTTCCTAAAAATAATGGTTGTCCAATGATACAAAAGGTCAAACCTGTCTTCAGAGTGAAGTAGGTATGTAAAAAGCCACACTTGTAAGACAACATGATTGAGAAAGAAAGGAAGCACAGGCAGCCCCTGCCCCCATGCCCAGCTCTGCCTCACTGGCCCTGGTTGGTATGAACACCCATTCAGTGCTGGGCATGATCACTGGTCCTGAAGCACAGCACTGGGCAGGCAGACAACGCTGCACTGCTCTGCGGTCTGCCTCAGACTTCTGTCACCCCTGAACCTCGAGTTCTGAGAACCAAACCAGGTGGGACAGAGACTGGCCGCAGCTGTCCCTGCAAGCAAAGAAGGGAGAGCGCCTGGCTTAGGTGGATACGGGTGAGGTGCGGAGAAGCGCAGGTAACCCTGCTGCCTTCATTCCTCGGATGCAGTGGCTCTCTGACTCCATAAAGGAGCCGAAGATCAAAAAAAATCCCAGCGGATCCTCAGTGACCCTCCGCAAGCACCAGCTCCGCTCTCCTCGCGGTTGCTGTGCAATCCACGGCTGCAGAACAATGGAATGGAGCAGGCGAAGGAGGGCGCAGAGCGCCACTGTGGAGTCGGCAGAAAATCAAGATCCAGGTTCCTTTTTATTCTGAGGATTAGCAAGGGATAAAAAAAAAAAAAAAAAATCCGCATTTCTGTTTAACAAACAGCAGCAGGTTTTCTATGCTGATAAGAACCCCACCCCCTAGAGGGTTGCCAGGCACACACATTGTAGCATGGTTTCTGAACCGCTCTTCAGGAGATCAATATTTACTCATCAACATGTTTTGTGAGCACCTACTATGGGCCAAGGCTTTACCACAGGGTAGGTTCGTACAAAATTGTAAATTGAGAAGAGGCAAAAATCCCCAGAACGTCAAACAAAATACTGCTGTCTGCTGTGCACCCTGATTGCCTGATTGACTACATCTGACAGACATTATGAGACTATCTCCCTATCAAAATGACAGGAAAGGGAGGAATAAAAGGCCTCTGAGAAGAGTGAAAACAATTAATGGGCAAGTCATTTAAATGCTGTTTTTAACTGCAGTGTCCTTTTCAAGTGTGTAAATACAATAATCCTTCAGGATGTACATATATTTAATATTTAAATACACAGAACAGTAATACTCAAAAGAGTTGATATTTGTTGCTATTAGACACAGAAAACTTTATATTTTATGTAACCTACACCTTTTTTTTTAAAGATAGCTCTTGGGGGCTGGAAAGATGGCTCAGCGGTTAAGAACACTGGTTTTTCTTGCAGAAGACCTGGGTTCGAATCCGAGCATCCACATGGCAGCTAACAACTGTCCATAACTCCAGTTCCAGGGGATCTGACAGCCTCTTCTGTCCTCCGCAGGCATTGCATGACACGGGTGCAGGTGCACATAACATGCAGGCAATACGTGCATACATATAAAATAAAGTAATAAATAAAATATTTAAAAGAAAATAAAGATAGCTCTGAAAAATATACTACTAAGCACCTAGATAAAATAATAAAACAATTGAAAAATATTCAGCAATTCTTTCGCTCTGGCTAGCAGTATTTCCTGTGCCAGTGGAGAGAGAGTCAGCCTCTGGGGGTCAGCTTATGGTCCTATGGTAAATAGCCTACTTCAAAAACTAGGAGACAGGAAGCAGGCACACACCTTGGAAATGATCACTGTCATGGCCAGGTTCTCAGAATGAGTAGCCAGGAAACCAAGCATCATGATGCCAGGCAGCCCTGTGTTCCCTTTGCAGGACCCAACACAATCGATCACCGCAGCCACACCCCCTGCGTTAACGATCAGCTGTAGGAGCTAAGAGGCAAGAACAGCAACCCAGACAGAGAAGCCCACCTTAATAGGATGTGGCCACTCTTTACTTAGGACTTACAAACACCTGGTCAAATTGAAATCCATTCATAGATATTATTGTATTTATTAAAGAAATATTCAAGTATGATAGTCTTGCTCTTTCAAACACATAGTATAATCACTGTGAAGGACTTTATTGTGTGATTTTATTTATTTATTTATTTATTTATTTATTTATTTATTTATTATTTGTCTTTTTGAAACAGGGTCTCCCTGTAAGCCCCAGCTGTCCTGGAACTCACTATATAGACCAGGCTGGCATTGAACTCACAGAGATCTGCCTGCCTCTGCCTCCCAAGTGCTTATCCCTATTGTAACCAGTTTCAAAATTCTTCACCTAGATGCCAAGCCCAGGGCAAGTTCATAACTGAAATACACAATCGGAGTGACTAAGCATAAAAATTAATCAATGCCCAAAGCGAGCATCAGGCTTCAAGCAGTCCAACCTACATACCCCCTTTGGTAGAGATTAGAAGCTGAGTGAGCTTCAGTTCTGGAAAATTTCAACCAAATAAAGATATTAGCTGAAGAATGAGGACTTTAATGTGTAATGAAATGAAAACTGATTAGTCAAAATACACACAGAAAAATGGCAAGTACAGAATCAACAGGAGTTTGCTTTGCCTCTGTTTCTTTCACATCTGAAAATCACGTTAGAGCAGCTGTTAGCCTAGCCACACTAAGCCTGGGAACCTCTGTGTTCTGACCTAACGTATAGATATAATACCCTTTGCTGCTCCAGGTGACGTAAGGATGACAGACATCCACAGTCCCTGCAACCCAGAGTGGAAATCTGGAAATGATTAGAAACTGAATTTCAAACTCAAACTCCATTAATGTAATTCAGTTGTTCTCAACTGGAGGTGATTTTGCTCCCTAGAGAACATTTGACAATTTGGAGGCTTTTTTTTTTTTATTGTCATCGCTTGGGGGAGGAGCACTGTTGTCATCAGAGCCCAGGAACACTGGTGAACATCCATTCTACCACAACAGAGATCTCCTAGCCCAAAATGCCAACAGTGCTGGGACGCTGTAGTTATATCACATGGGACAACCCAGAGGCCCCATAAACGGACTGATGTTTTCTTTAAAAACCAAAACTAAGTATGATTGTCTCTTGAAGCTTGCTTACTGTTTGTTTTGCTTTGCTTTTACTTCGGGCATATGTTTCACAATCTCCCTAATTAAAGCACAAGCATTTTTCTTCACATATTCATCTTCGTCCTTCAGACAGGCTAAACACAACCAGAAAAATCTCTGCCTCAAGGACCATCTCTGCCAGATCCACGGAATGTTTTGCAATGTGACTGAGAGCTGAGAGGACTTGATGCTGCCAAGCAAAAAAGGGAAATAAAACAATACTTTATGTAAAGTACACAAGCATACCTCAGAGTTCACATGTAATTTAAACAGCCTTATAATTTCCTAATTCCTTTATTAGAAAGCAAAGCACACACACACAAAAATCCTATAAAACCTCTGATGAATGCCAACGGCTCTGATAAAACCTAAGATTTCTGAGCCTTGCAACTTTCATAGTCTAGTTGTAAACTTAATTTTTTAGATTTCCCCAATTTCCCCATTAGTTCTCAACAGGCTATTTAATAACCCTGCATATTACAGACAGTTAACTCGTATGACCTTTGGACAAATACCACTTCTTAATCACACAGTACGTAGCTTGCTAATTTATGACCCAAGTGTTACTTACTGTGGTAACTGGCAGAATTAGCATCTTTTGGGAGTGATGTTGGTACCACCTCAAAGAACTTCCCATGCGTACCTAACATTAACTATTTTAAAACCACATATAACTTATGAATTTAGAAAACTTGTAGAGGACTAATAAATGTACAACAAATTTCCATAAGAAATTCAAATATTCTAGTGATAGGCTAGAAAACCCGTAGGTCCTTCCAGGCCCAGGATTTGGTGCCTTGTTTTAATTATTAATGTTAACCCTGATGCTGCCTCTAATGTTCAGCATTGCATATGGATTTCCAAATCACATCTTAAATGTGAACCCTACAACACTAGTTTCACATTCACAAAGACCAACTATATATTTGTATCTATTTCCAACGGTATTTACTAATTATTTTTACTGTGTAACATCAGTCTATACACATTTTCATTTTCTTGGATTGTAAGAGGTCTAGTCTGTCTGTCTCTTGATCTCGTTTTTAAAATACCTTCAATTTTGGATCAGGATTGAGGATCATCTGGGCTAAGTGAGCGATAGCCCCTGCATCTACCACTGTCTGTGCCAGCTCTGGAGAATGCTTTGAAATATCACTGAGGGCCGAGGCAGCAATCCTTTTCAAAGCAATTTCTGGCTCTTGGATACAGAGTACTAAAAGAGGAACAGCTCCTGCATCCACCACAGCTTGTGACAGTTCTGTGGGTCCAAGAAAAGTAATTAAGTGAGTATGGGTGACTGACCCTTGTGCAAGCCATTTTTCACCCTGACAGATACAGCAAAGAAAAAAGGGGAGGGTGCACTGCACTCTCTCGACATCTGCATTTCAAATCAGCCTTCCCGGTTTCATAAACCATGTGGACCAATCCTGAGCTGAAAAGAACACAGGTCAATAGATGGACCTCCATTTACATGAACACATTTGAGGTAGATTAGGCTGAAATGGCTTGTTATTCTTTTTTTTTAAGAGAGTAAGCAGATGTCAGCTGTTTAAGCTCTGACAATTCTGCACTTCTCAATAGGCAAGCATTTTATGCCTGGTTTACAATAACAGAGAAAATTAAAGTACCAAAAATTTACCAACCACACTAATTAGGCAGTATTTTGTGCTATTTACGTGAGTAAACATTAGCAAGAATCTCGTGCCAATAATGTCGATTTTTAAATTCCTTTCATCTTGTAATACTTTGAAAAGATTTTTTAATATTTTATACAAAATAAGCCATCTTTTCATTGTACACTTAAAAAATATTTTCAAAAATGAGGTTTACAACTTAGTAACATAATTTTATATATAAATGTTAACATTTAGATAAAGGAATAGATTTAGCTTAATTATGTTACACATCAGAAAGCCAGCAAATGTCTTTTGAATGCACATATTAATGTACTTGTATGTCCAAGAATAACAGCTATAAAAAAATTTCAATTTTAGAAAGACAGAAGACAATCAGTCAGACCCATTTAATACCTGTGCAACAAATGCCTTTTTGAGAAGTGAAAGGTCCATACACAGTTACAGACTCACTTCTGTGCATATATAGGATCATGGAGTACTCTTGGGCTCATGGAATCACCCCCCTCATTCAGTCATCTCATGCTCATGGAATCACCCAGCCCCCCAAGTCATCTCAGGATCATGGAGTCACACCCCCACCCGACTCAGTCATCTCAGGATCATGGAGTCACACCCCCACCCCACTCATTCATCTCTGGTTCCTGGAGTCACCTCCCCCAACTCAGTCATCTCAGGATCATGGAGACACCCACCCCCACTCAGTCATCTCAGGAGCATAGAGTCACCTCCCCCACTCCAGTCATCTCAGGATTATGGAGTCACCCCCCCATATTCATTATCTTAGGATCATGGAGTCACCCCCCTACTCATCATCCCTTCCTTCCCAAATATGTTTATATTTTCTTAGATTTGCAGTGCTATCACAATATGTGCATGTCTTAATTGTCAAGCTAAAATTGCTATTTACCATATTACTTGAGTCTGTAATTTGAAAAAGACACAGTGGTTAATTTTTCAAAAGATTGGTAATATGACATACTTTGTTTTGTTACGTTTTTGACAGAGTATCCCTAATCCCAGCCCAGGTGGAGACCAGGCTGGTCTTACAGAGATCTACCTGCCTCTGTCTCCCAAAGGCTGGGATTAAAAGCATGTGCCACCATGCCTGGCGTAATATGACATTAAAAAAAAAAAACTCATGTTATCAAATACAGGTTGATAGCTGTAATTTGTTTTCCTTAAATTATCATGATTTTCTTAGCAGTCTCAATATTGTATAAATAGTTTATTCATTCCTTCATTAAATAAGTATTAATGGAAGATTATTATGTGCTAGGCTCATTCAGTTCTGCAGTTGGTGACACAATTCCGAAAATTAACACTACATTCATTAGCAAAAACATGCTCTAATTTTTAAAAGCTGGTGTGAAATATGATATTTGATGTCAAGTTCATGTGTAATCTCAAAAACCTGAGGTAGATAAGAGGATTTTGTTTTACAAACAGAATAGCAGGAAGGCTTGGGTGTCAACACAGCAATGTAACAGAGTCCTCAGAAACAGTCTCTGCCTGTTACAACAGCCAGAACCAACAGGACGGCTGGCACAGGACGCCATCCCCAGCCCTCTCTCACAGCCAGCACCCACACCCATGCCCACACAATAGAAACAGGAAGAGAATATAAAGTGCAGTATATGTAATCCTTGTTCATTAGAGACATGTTCATTAAGAATTCAAATCAGGGGGCTAAGGGGTTGGCTCAGCAGTTAAGAGCACTGGCTGCTCTTGCAGAAGACCTGAGTTCAGTTCCCAGTACCCACACAGTGGCTCACAACCATCTGTAACTCTAGTTCCAAGGGATCCAATGCTCTCTTCTGGCCGAGCACACACATGGCGCATCTATGTACACAGGCAAAACGTTCATGCATATAAAATGAAAAGAGATAAAAAACGTTTTTAAAAAAAATATGCAGGTATAATTCTAAGCACCTACCAGAATCAAATGGGTAAGATCATAAGTATTGTTGACCTGGCACCTCGGAGGCAGGCCTCTAGGCACACCTGTGAGGGGTTGTCTAGATTACAGCTCACCTCTGAGAATGTCAGAGAGGGATGGATTGTCTTGATTAGGCTAATTGATGTGAGAAGAGTCGCTTATACTGTAGGTAAGACATGCTCTGAGCAGGGGACGCTGGGCTGTATGAAATGGAGCGGGACAGCTGGGCACTAGGTAGCAAGCAGGCCTTCACTCTCTGCTCTTCCTGACACTGCGACTTCCCTGCCACGATGGACTGTAACCTGGAACTGTGAACCTAGTGAACCCTATCTCCCTTAAGTTACCTTTATCAGGATATTTTATCACAGCAATAGGAAGAAACTAAGACAGTGGGCTGAACATTTATCTCAATAAAGTGTAAAGATTAATTCACCTATTTCTGTATTTTCAGTCTCACACAGTTTCTAATAGTAAAGAACGAACCATGAGCTTCAAGTGCTTAAAATCACTATTAGGGTTGGTGATGTGGCTCAGGGGCAGGCAGACCACTCTCCTAGCATGCCTGAGGTCCCATCTGCAGCATAAATAAGTAAATAAGCCATTAACAAAAAGTCAAAGTTCTTTTTAAAAAATGTTATCTATCTTTTTATACCCATATATTTTACCTCGAATGATGACAGGTAATGCATGCTACATAGCCTGAACACTATGAGGTAATAATAAAGCAGACTGTTCTCCTGACATGCTACCCAAGCCCATCCCGTGTTGTCCTGTGACCTTTCCAGAGCAGTGGTGTTACACGTAGGGAGACTGGGGATGTCCCTGGAGAAAGATCTGTGTAGGTAATGAAGTTTCCAAGGACCTGCGCAAGGGCCAGCAATTTTGAACTGGCATTTTCATGTCTTTTGAAGCACCAAATGTGTATGGGCCTACAAAGCTGGGATCTGTTCTTGAATACCACAGTGTTCCCTAGAAACGATACTGTTCTATGACCTTCATACATCATTCTACATCAGCTGCTCTTCTACAGGTAAGAATGCACACCATGCCTGCTACATGTCCTGCAGCTGTTTCAGCCTGCCCCCACCCCAGCTCTTTCCCCAATGGCACATCTTTCTCTTTTTTCCCTGTTACCGCTTCCTCTGGTGTTTCAAGCCAGTCACCACTGGTATATACCCAGTAGTTTTTGTCAGCTTGGGCATGGGCTTGTGAGCCTATCCAGGCCAGAGGGACCTGAGTGGAAGTCCACTGGAAGCATCCGTGAAGGTTTTAACTCTGCATACACTGAGAGTCACAAAAGAAAACATCACCTCTTCCTTGTGGGCTATGGCTATATCTGCAAATGACATCTGAAAGTCCTACATTCATCTTGCAACTATGGTGGAAGAAATCACCAGTATGTTGAGGATGGCTGAGAATGAAAAACATCTGGTTCCTCCACAACACTGCTCACTTGGAGCTGCCCTGACTCTGAACTTTATACCATCTGAAATTAAAAAAAAATGTCCTTATTGTTTAAGTCACTTGTGGATATTCAGTAACCACAGCTGATGGCATCCTGATATAATCCCTCACTCTAGCCTGTTGGTGTATGCACTTACTTTCCTGTCTTCCTTCACTCATCAGGTACTTAACTACTTGCTGGGAACTTGGCTAGATTTGGGGGAAGAACAGAGTAAAACCTGTTCTAGTCTAGAAGATTTTGCTCAGGGTGAACGCAGCAGCAGACCAAGCACTACAAGCACAGCGGAGCACCACATGCGTACCATGGACGAATTCCAGGAAGTGCTTCCCATCACACTCCCTCCCCTTTTCCTTTCCCAACTCTACAAAGAAACAGTAGGAATGAAACATACACAAAATTATGCACATCTGAAAATGACTTCTCATAGGAGAATCTCTGGGAACTCATTTTAACACTAATTCAGAAAACAGCTTTTGGATGTTCAGTTGATTAACATGTTTAAGAAATCAAAGATTGATACATACAGACTTAGATGCTCATTAGTTTGTTTCAAAAATACAAAGTAGTGACCCAAGAAATTTATCTCTAGGGCCTGAAAATATCTTAGCCTCATTTTGAGCTTTAAATTAACCTTCAAAAGTAATTTTTAAAGACATTTCTTTTATTACATATTAATGTGACATATTACACTGTTCCACAGCAAGACGAAAAGTATATATAACTATGTTTAACATTCGAATGAAAAAATCAATATGGTTGGGCACTCCTGTAATCCTGGCCTTTGTGAAGTGAACCTGTTCTAGTTTGTTTCTCCACTGTTGTGACAAAATACTCTCACCAATACCAACTTGGGGAAGAAAGGGTTTATTCAGCTTACATCTCTCAGGTCACAGTTCATCACTGAGGGAGCCCAAGATAGGAACTCAGGGCAGGAACCTGGAGGCAGGAGCTGAAGCCCAGGCCATGGAGGAATGCTGCTTACTGGCTTGCTCCCCTGGCCCCTGCTCAATCTACTTTCTTAGACAACATAGGCCCACCTGCCCAGGGGTGGCACCACCTACAGTGGGATGGGCCCTCCCAATCACTCAATAATCAAGATGATGCCCTACGGACATGACCACAGCCCAGTCCAATAGAGGCTATTCACCAGTTGAGGCTCCCTCAAGCCAGGTGTGTCAAGTTGACAACTAAAGCCATCCAGCACAGAACCCTTGAGGATC